AACACGATCGAGTCGAACACGATCGTCGAGTTGAACACGATCGTCGAGTCGAACACGATCGTCGAGTCGAACACGATCGTCGAGTCGAACACGATAGTTGAGTCAAACACGACATTGCCCTATCATCGAGTCGAACACGACAGTGACCTATCGTCGAGTCGAACACGATCGTCAAGTTGAACACAATCGTCGAGTCGAACACGATCGTCGATTCGAACACGATCGTCGAGTGGAACACAATCGTCGAGTCGAACACGATCGTCGAGTCGAACACGATCGTCACGATGGTGCCCTGTCGTCGAGTCGAACACGATCCTTCCCTGTCGTCGAGTCGAACACGATTGTGTGCGGTGCAATGTCATTGAATCGTTCATGATTGTGTGCAGTACAATGGACCTCGTGCGTCGTGTCCTGGAAGATTCTGCATGGGTTGCGTGCGTGGAATATGGGGAATTGTTCTATGCTACTGTTGATCGTTGCGCTTGTGTCGTGCAGGGCGTCGGGGGGGAATTGTTTTATGCTGCTGTTGATCGTTGCACTTGTGCCGTGCAGGACGTCGTCTCTTCACTGTTGCTATGGAGATCTCTCATATGACCCCAACACTTTGGCGTGCATGCAGGGCACACCCTTTCCCACCTTGCGCGTTGTACGTCCGACAATGTCAGGGCAGCGTAACCTATGACGGCGCTTGTCCCGAAGACTTTGAATGCGACCCTTGGATGAGAATCCTCCCGTTTGACGACAAACATTTGGACTCGTGGGAGGAGTACGAGTGGGTGAACATGACGGAGAGATGCCCATGGGCGTGCGATTATGAGTTCGCCAATATGTCGGAATTCGGCAAACGCATTCCTGTGTCGTTCGATGAGCTGCGTCCCGTGCGCTTGCCTCAATTGTGTAAAAAGCTGAAAATAACTCGTCTTGTGGGGGTTTTGGACTGCGAATACGTGACAACCTCGCCGCACACCTGATGCCGTGTTATGAAACAGGAGTTACTCGATTGTGCGCAACATTATCAGTTCCTCGATCATTATCCGTTGCGATCTCCCGGTTTGTCGCCAAGAGCAGTTTCGTATTGTTGTGTGAGATTGCGTCTGGCATACTTCATCTTCTGTAGGGTCCTCTGTATTGCCGTTTTGAGCAGGGCAAGAAACTTGACCGACGTTGTCGTGTATGTGTCCAGGAACGAGTTGTCTATGTACGGGAGGGATATGTGTTCAGTTCAAAGAGAGGTAGATAGGAGACTGGATATCGTGGTGGGTGGCCATGTGGAGGAAGTTGGCGCATGGCTCGAGGTCGAGGCTAAAGTCGTTTCAATTCGGGATGCTATAGGCGCTTCTCTCGTCGGGAACTCCGGGTTCGTGCGCATGACATACATTTCGGTGTTTGCTGAGACGGCGCAGCAACTGACCTTCGGATCGCCACTTAGCGTGTTGAATGGCCGCAACGGTGAGATTGTTCCCCGTACTAGTCGATAGATAGCCTTCGACGGCATACTGAATGGCCGCAACGGCGGGAGAGCTCCCCATGGTCGATGGATAGCCTTCGCCGTTCCACATTTTCCGACTCTGCCACTGTCGCAAGTTCGTGGATGTCTCGAGACCGATGTTGACAACTTTTTGATTCCGTTTTTGTCCGATGTTGACAGCTTTTTTATTTCGTTGTGTGTTCAACAATGACGCATCGCTGCCTTTCCGTTTTTATTTTCGTGGAAATCGGATTGCGATTGTTGTTCTCAATGTGTTATTTTGGTAACAATACGCGGTATCTGCTAGTTGTTCTCATCATGTGTTCAGTGGCGAAAAGTGCACACGTGTGACGTTGCTGTCCTCATATTGTTTTTCGATTCATTGAAACCCGGGAATGATGACACGTGTTTTCGGTTTGGCTTTGGACACCGACACATCGCTGCCAGCCCGAGCGTTTGATTGTTGTTCTCATGTTGTGTTTCCTTGCAAAAAAAAAAACCTCGTTGTTCTGATGTTTTGCGTACACAAGCATTCAGCACTCATTGTATCTCCGTATTAACTAGTGTCTGCGATCTGTTGTCTTCTGTTCCCGTGATCAAGTGCCCCTTCAGGCACCGTCCACCGACCATTGTGTCGAACACGAGAAATGTCGCACGACAGACCACAGTGTCGCTGTCGTGTTCGACACGTTGGTCGCCAAACGGTGCCTGAAGTGGCACTTGGTCGACTGTCGCACGGCAGACGACAGTGTCGCTGTCGTGTCGAACACGACGGTCAGCTCCCCTTCAGGCACTGTCTGCCCACCATCGTGTCGAACACGACATGGACACTGTGGTTGGCGACCAGACGGTGCCTGAAGGGGCGCTGTCAGCACCATTACCCTTGCAAGGGTAAATGTGCGTGTTTTGTGCAACTCGCAGAAAAGGTGACTGAAATAACATCTGAGAGAGTAATGCGTATTTCGTCTAGCCGCAGAAGTCAGGAGCGGCAGGCGTATGTGTAGTTTGATTAGAGAGTGTATGAGCATGCACTTTGCGGGCATGCGTAAGTAGTTGACTACCGGCTAACTTAGGAGTTTAGACCGGATTGTGTGGACCGTAATGTCGGGACCGTTGATAAAAGTCACGACCGGCACAAGTATAGCCTGGGAGACAACGGCCAGAAGAGGAACCTTCGCTGACCCACTGAAAGGCGACGGCTTTGAGGTCGTATAGTGCGGGTGTCACAAGCACCGAGTTGATTGTGTATTACCAGCAACCGAAGGTAGAGAACGGGTGCCGACAGGGCACGTCAGGAGCAAAAGCAGGGGTGTTCCCGGCGAAAGCGGTGACAAAAGGACCGACCGCGGCGGGGCTATGAAAGCCACCTGCCGCGACTATGGCACGTAGGGTGAAATGCGTAACGAGCTGAACAATGCATGCCCTTAGGGGCAGCAAAAGGGGACACTACAAGGCCATGGGGGCGGACAGATAACCCACTAGCGGCCTTGAAGTACTTCAGCAGGCCAAGCAACCTAACGGTGCTATTGATATGTAGGACTGCGCCTGCTACCACCAGGCTTGGGCTTAGCCCTATTGGTTACGGTACTGAACTTTCACCAGGTGGATCTCGGGATCGTGGCTGATGTCGAGCAGCGGAGTGGCG